GCCGGGTGACCCGGGTCCAATCTTCAGTATCAACAGTCTGATGACTCTGCACTGATTGCTTGGCATCCGTTTTGGTCTTTGTCATTGGTTTTGTCTTGGTATCAGGTTTCGATCCTGGCTTTGTTTCTTTGGACTGATCCAGAATGGGAATTTTCCCATCGTCAGCAGCTGCGACAAGTTTGGCTAACTTTGGCAATAGGTCGTCATGATTTTTCTCAGCTCTGGCAATCAATGTTTTCAAGGCCCCCAAGAGGGATTGGTTTTTTCGACCTTGATTCTTTTTCCCCTGACTGGGAGGAGCAGTTGCTTTGTTCTGAGGAGCAAAAGACTGCAGCAACTCCTTGAGTCCTTTCAGCAAATCTCGTTCATCCCTTTTCCGGCGTGTGGCCGCAGAGCCACCCCCACCGCTGCCCCCTCGCAGCTCAGGTGAATTGATTTGGCTGAAAGTTGGCGAATCATACTTGATGTTTCCGCCCGTCTTCTCTGCCCCCACCGCTGCCCCCTCGCAGCTCAGGTGAATTGATTTGGCTGAAAGTTGGCGAATCATACTTGATGTTTCCGCCCGTCTTCTCATGCAAAACTGTTGTGTCATTTCTGGGGCAAACAAAAATGCACATGTCAAAGCAAAACCTGGCACGCAAAGCAAAACGTTTGCCCCTTGGCAGACAAATCCTTTGGTGCGCAATCTTTCTAGCTGGCAAAATTTTGCGAATTTTCGAAGTTCGCTTGTGAAGGATTCGTGCTACCCACCCCGAAGCAAAATCGCACAACACAGCCCCAAAGAGGCACAACCAGATCCACACAGAATCAGGGTGCAAAAAGTGCAGTGCAGTTCGGGTTGCTGACACACCACAACGAATGGCAAATTGGTAACTGAAAGCAAAACTGAAGTGCAAGACTTCACTGACAGCGACCTGACTTGCAATGCTCACACTGCAAATGAAAGAAACAAGGCAGGCGAGACCGCACACAACAGCAAAACTGTTGGCCCCTTTTCTCAACCAGCCAATGCAGCAAAACAAAATTGGGATGAGACTCCAGGCAAAATGAGAAACATCACATGGGTTGGCATCAAAATTGTCATCTTTCAAAGCTCCAGCACATGTGAAGCAAGAAAAGAGAATCAGGCACATCATTTTCTTTGCATCGAACCGCAGGGTTGAACCTGGTGTCTGCGCTCGTTTCGTGCCTTGAGTAGCCAAGGCCCGTGTGGACTGCTTGGAAGTAGAGCGCTGGTCCACACTGAAGGCGTGTGGCCTTGTCAATGTCCAATAAGTAACCAACCTCCAAAGCTTTCACCAAGAGCACTGAATCAGAAGCAAACTCATACACATGCAACCCCAAATCTTGATTTTGATGTTGCTTCGCCTGTTGGTGCCTCTTTGCGCAGGTCAACTTCGGTGGAAGAACTCCACGCTGTAAGCTGCGCAGGTCAAAGGCAATCTCCTCATGCTCCTTCATCATTGTTTCGCTCAAAGTTTCCAGAAGTAACTCCAGTTGACGATACGAAAGCAAACACTTGCGATACTGCGGATCTTTGTTCAAACAATTTTGTTGTGTTTTGATTCTTGTTTCTATCAGCCAAGACGAATTTTCAACAGTGTAGAAATTGCCAAGGTCCCTGTGGATCATTCTGCGCTGCTGCGCTGCCAGCTCCATCAGGTTCAGCGACTTGAACTGAACTCGGTCAACTCGACAACGCGAAAGTGCTTCAACGGCTTCTGATGCCGCCAGAAGCCGGGCCCTCAAATTTTTCACATTTTCATCAATCTTCGCCAACATCTCAGCATGCACCTGTGTGGCTGCGACCAATGGAGTGCCGGTAATGGCCAACGTAAAAAGATCATTCTGTCGCACACATGCTGTCACATGCTTCAATACAATCCAGTAGACTCTTAATTGTCTCATCCGAGCGCTCCAGCAGCAACTCTTCACCCGAACGAGATGTTTTCACTGTGCTGACGGAGGGCGTTGGCTCTTCTTCCACACCTCGCTTCTTAATGCCAGTGAAAAGAAGCGACTGCTTTGGATCCACCACGCTTGCAGCAGGCACCCGGACAGCCCCGGTCACAACCGGTTGACTCCCCCAAGGGTCTTCGCCAGGTGCCAAAGGGCTTGAAGACGTCTGGGCAGCTCCAGTCGAAACCGGTTGAGTCCCATGACCTTCCTGCCCCCGCACCGGACATCCAGCCCAATCTGTGCTGTGCCAGCGGAGCGTGCAATTCATACGGACATGCTTGGCTTCTGGCGCAGCACCTTCATGCAAAGCAATTTCCTGCTGCAGCCCAACTTTCTCCCACTCTTGCATTGTAGTGAACATAGGAAGCAACTTCAAATCTTTCCAAGTGGAGCGCGCCGGCACACCATGGCAAAACTCTGCTTGGAAGTCTCCTGCCATCACCAAAGCGTCACCGCCTTCTTGGAACAACATCCTTGTCACTGGACCTTTTTTGGGGCCCAAGGTCAACACACCCCCATGCCCAAAGGAAAAGGACGTGATCGGATCAACATTGCTGTAGGTGGCAGACTCATCTGAATGAGGGCTGATTCCATGATTTTTGTTGTGATCATTCCAGTTCCACAACACCTGCCACGACTTGTCAAGCCAAGTGGGACGCAGGTCTCGATTCTGAAAAGCTTCATAGTTCTTCATCAATGTGGCGTCCCATAATTTCTCAAATCTGCTTCCAGCTTTCCACATGGCCGATGAAGTTGGCACGTGTTTCTGGTGAGCGTCAGCTCCAAAGATGGAGCGACACAGACACGGAGCACGCGTCACCTGCGCACTCCAGTAGTACACAGTCCATCCGTCAGCTTTCAGCATCTGCTGGGATTTCGTTGGACGAGCATTGTTGTTGCGAACATTTTCTTCCCACTGTTGAATCTCTTCCAGCTGTGGCGCAATGAAATCTCCAATCTCGAAGAAGGGCCTTCCCTCAGCACAAGCGCCTTTGGCGAATAGCAAGAAGGATTTGTTCGATCTATGCGGCAATCTCTCTGCATAGTTCTCAAAGGCAACGTCTACACCAAACAAAAGCTGCGCAAATTTCACAGTGTCATCCCAACTCGTGACACCAAATGGCCATGATCTCTTTGCCATGGCTCTTGAAACACCAGACCTTCCCGGTCAAAACCAGTTCAGTCCCAATGTGTTCAAACTTCCCAAGTGCAAAAAGACAGTGTCCGTCTTGCAGTGTCAAGCTACACCTAAATATCTATATAGTATGTAACCTCTCCAATCTTTCTCAATGAAACATTTCGAAGAGATACACCTACTACATTTATATTCTCAAGCGTTTCATGTCCCTATCCTTTGAGCACTATTATCTTATTCACGTTTCTGCTTGTGCTTGAGCTCGCGTCGGCTGTTGCGCAGGGTGTCAAAGCACAAGCTGCTTTCCAAATCACTTATCCAACACTTTTGAAAGCAGCCACTGGCCAATGTGCTTACTTCCACTCAAACTCCTCGCCTGCGCAGCACTCGCAGATTGGTCACCCTCTGCCATCACCTGCCAAGCAAACAAAAACACGCAAGAAGACACTACTGATCACACAACCTCCTCCTGCTGAATTCTTCTATGATGATGTCCATCCTGCCTCTGGCCCGCGATCGAGTAGATGAGGGCTCAAATGCTCCAACAAATGTTCCGATGTCACATATCCACCATGCCACCATAGCTGTGATACACAACAGAAACCCTGTGTGATGTTGACTGTCTCAAGCATCAATCCAGCATGAGATCACTTCAAGTAATTTGTAGTAACTTGCTGTAAGATGTTGCCTGTCTCAAGCGTCTTTGCAAACAGCTCCAAAGGTACAGAAGTGGAAATGTCTCTGTCCACCCCAGTGACTCTGTCATCTGTTCAAACTGATTGCTTCAAACTTTGCCACCTGCAAAGTAAGAAGTGGCATTGCCCCGGTCACTCTACCACACACGCGCGAGTTTGCAAGTAATATATAACATACTTGTCTGACATTCTTTCTAACTTTCTTCTGCACATTCTTTGTCCCATATCTTCCTACATGAGGTCCGGCAGGGAACACTTGGCGTGGATACTCGCGGTTGAGGTCCGGCAGGGAACACTGGGCGTGGATGGTCGTGGTTGAGGTCCGGCAGGGAACACTGGGCGGGGATGGTCGTGGTTGAGGTCCGGCAGGGAACACTGGGCGTGGATGGTCGTGGTTGAGGTCCGACAGAGAACACTGTGCGTCGAGGGTCGCGGTTGAGCAGGAGGAGGAGGAGGAGAGGAGAGGAGGAGAGGAGCAGGCAACTGACATAAAATCTAACAACCCTCACCTGGCAGGTGGGGAATCAAAGGGGAAAGGGAAGAAACAAAGCTAAGAAAGAAAAAAAAACATGGTAGTTACCCTCCAGCAATCAAAAGTGTAAATGGGACATCCCCTATAAATGGATATAAATGAAAGTTTTACTGGGAAAATCGGGAAAATCATCAATGATTCATTCTCCATTGGGACGTTACCAAAGGTCAAAAGGCTTGAACTCCAGGTTCTTGGGGTAGCTCATGCTGGTGACTACTGTGAAAGATTGTGCTGTCCTCGGCGACATGATTGGATATGCTCAAGGGGAAATATGTATACATATATATATATATATAACATGTTGTGTAAAATGTGGGAGAAACCATGATTTCTTTCCCAGCCAATTGCACTGATTTCGTGATTTGTTTCATCCAAAACTGGGATTTCCCCCAAACAGGGGCACCTTCCGGGGTCTCTGCACCCGAGGGAGGGTCCAGTTGGATAACCAAAGTCTTGGGCATTGCTCATGTGCATCCCTAAGTGTGGTTTATGAAACTGGCTATGCCTCTAGAACTTGGATGATATAAACATGACCCCCAAATGACTGGGTACTGGGGCGGTTTTTTTCCATTGTCTTGGGGTAGCTATGTTAAATGACCAGATTTTAGTAACCCATAAGGCTCTTTTTCGGGACCCAAGTTCTCCTTATTTCTCCTTCGCTTAGTTTCCGCCCAGGTACCACAGAGCCAATGTTCGGCTTCGTGATTGTGAGATCCTTCACCTACGGCAGCGGTTGAACTCACTAACTTTTGGAGGTGAACCCACCATGGGGACAGCTATGTTATATAAACCCAACCAGTTCCAAGTTTCAAGGCTTCCAAAAATCCCGACAGAGATGGTGCTAATTTCACTAGCTCATTGATAAGCTCAATTGTATCCCCAAGGCCAAGGAATTAGCAAAAACCATAGCCCCAAAGAGATCATTATGTATTTTTTCTTGGGCAAACAGTTGGCCCGTGCTTGAGATATACAGGATGAAAAACACATCCACTAAAGAGTCTGATTTTCCAGAACTAAAAATGGTGATTTAACTACTAAAGTAATGATGTTTTGAACCCAACTCATCGAACATCATTTAATGGTTTTCACATCCACTGAAGGGTTGATAAATGTCAACCTAGACTAATGATAGCATCTACCGTTATTTTTCGAACATAATGTATGTATGTATGTATGTATGTAACTAAATATAAAATTATATATATATACATATCATATTAATATATATATATGCATATCATATATATATAATGCATATCATATATATATACATATCATATATATATACATATCACATATATATATGTACATATCATATATATATACATATCATATATATATATATATCCATATCATATATATCATTTATATATACATACATATCATATATACATACATATCATATATATATACATATCATATATCACACACATATATATACATATCATATATATATATACATATCATATATCACACACATATATATACATATCATATATATATATATATACATATCATATATATCATATATATATACATATCAAATATATATATATATACTGTATACATATCATATATATCATATATATATACATATCAAATATATATATATACATATCATATATATCATATATATACATATCAAATAAATATATATATACATATCATATATATCATATATATATATACATATCATATATATATATACATATCATATATATATCATATATATATATACATATCATATATATATGTATACATATCATATATATCATATATATATATATACATATATTGCGATCGAACTCCACCATGATTTCCTACCACTTGCAATATGTTCTGGTATAAGGATTTTCTTTGTTGTTTCTTTCATTTTCATTTCGTCAGAATTTCGTCAGACTTTTCGTCGGGTGCTTTGTGGCAAAACGTTTTGCCACAAGATTTTGCCACAAATTCCTTCGTCAGAATTTCGTTAGGATTTCGTCAGAACTTGAATTGAAGCAACGAAATCTTTGACGAAATTTTGACGATTTTTTTTTGTGGCAAAATGTTGTGGCAAAACGTTTTGCCACAAGGAAAATTTCGTCAAAACCCTCCATTTTGACGATTTTTTCCTTGTGGCAAAACGTTTTGCCACAACATTTTGCCACAAAAAAAAATCGTCAAAATTTCGTCAAACAATTCGTTCAAATTTCGTCAAATTTGAGTTGAAGTAACGAAATCTTTGACGAAATTTCAACGAAATTCTCACGATCATTTTTTGTGGCAAAAGGTGTGGCAAAATGGATTGCCACAAGGATTGCCACGAAATCTTGAACGAAAGCTTTAACGAACTCTCAACGACCGACTGACGTTATACCATTCCTATTGCAAATCATGAGCAGCACCAACACAATATATATACATATCATATATATATATGTATACATATCATATATATCATATATATATATATACATATCATATATATATAAATTCATCTCTCATCACACCTCCACGTCCCCCGTGTGCTCGCTGCCTCCTTGAGCTGCTCGGGGCTGAGCCGGGTGAGATCCGGTTGGATCTGCAACGAGGAAAGGCCACGGCTCGATCTGCCTCGGAGCGTCCACCGCAAACTAACGTTTAACAACTAGAGAAAATGGACTGTTCAATAGCTATAGGGTATAATGATTTCATGGGTAAATCATGGGTAAATCATGGGTAAATCATCGAAGATTCAATTTTTTCATTGGTAAATCAACTATAAGTGACAACGTTCAATAGCTTTGTTAAACTACCAGGTAGTATAACATATGTGTAGGGTTTTTAAGGCTGATGGATGGATGTTAATATCTATTAAAATAGTATACCCATTGTTAGATGGACATTTAAATATCCAATACAAGGTGGTGGTGCCCAGGAGTTATAGATAAGTTGGCTTATACACCCCGTGAACTGGTTCGATATATGTATCATAAATAAACCATAGTTAACATAGCTATGAACCAACTTAGCTAAGCACGGGGGACCACATTGTATGCATGCATCTATAGTATATAATCATTATTTACAGCACAGACAGCACCAGACCGATTTAATTCAGGGTTCCTAGGTGCTCTTAGAATAACAATAATAGGTGACTTGTGTGCATGTGTATATACATGCGCATGCAGATGCTTTCACAAGACAAGACCAGAACCACATAGAACCACCCTAAAATATACAATAATCAGATCCGTAATAAGAAAATCAAATAAAATTGATTCAGGAAAGTGGGTTTTCAAGTGGGCGAAAATGTTCATGGACATCAATGCATGGCAATGAAAACCCAATGGGACCCCCTTTGGGACTGCACCTCTATCAGCTCAGCGGTGTTCGATGATTTTCCCAGCTAGCCATGCTTGATTGCCGGAGGGCATAAGATCTTGGAATTGATCCTATCTGATCGCTGGAGTCAGCTCACCACTACACACTGGAAAGGAACACTAGATAACTTCGAAGCTTCGGCCTTTGCGAGACATGGTCTCTAGAAACTCTGAATCTGAAGATCCCAATGGCCAATCCGGACAGTGTTGTGGCGATTTCTATTCTGAGGAAACCACACATTTTTTAGTGACAGCAGAAAGCCATCCCATTAAACATGTTTGAAACGCGTCCGCAAATGGCAACATCATAATCTTTGTTTTACTTTTTCTTCACTTGGAACGGTTGAACCACCCCTCAAGTCATCAGCTTTAATTGTCCAAATTGCGGGCATAGACTTCAAAGCCAATAATTTTCGGAGGCCTCCTCAGCCCCTCCTGGGGCGCCACCCTTGCTACAGGCTGCTTGGCTTGGTCTGCGGTTCCTCGGCCTTCTCAGCCTTTTCTTTCTCCTGCAGGACATGAACTGTCAGACCCCTGTTGATACAGGGATTGATTTAAGGAAAATTCTGCGGAAAACACTGGCATTTATTTTAGCGAAAGATCACCAAACAGCACCAAACAATCAAGGTGATTCCTCTACATTCGCTTGGCTTCCTGAAAAACAAATCCCTTCAGTCCTGGATGCTAACCCCCACCCCCAAACACGTGATGTCACCTGCAAGTAGAATCGCACACCCACACGATCTAAGTTTGAGGAGGAATTGGTTCACCCAAACCACCCCAAAATCAAGTGGAGCTCATAAGCGCCTTGGAAAATCAGCCGCTGGAACCTAACAATGGGCCCTAACAGCCTGGTGATTCTAGCCGGTTGATCTGTCTGAGGGTGCATCCTTGGGAAATGAAATGATTCTGTTCCAGGAGCCCATGCTTTGGTATCCCGATTCGCATGCCCCACAACATTTCACCAAGGTTTCTTGGGGTCTTAATTACATGAAGGGAAGGAATTACATGGATGGTCTCCCGAAATGGATGCTTCAATACCAAGATTAACCACTCATGCCCTATCTTTCCTGGGTGGCGACTCTGCGAGAAACCCATCATCACGGTTTTATCAGACATTGCAATGACCACTGACTATTTGTTACCCTTGTCGAATTGGAAAAACAATAGAAATCATCCATGATGGAATATCAGGAATTTGCCATTGCCATCTGATAGAGTACCAAAGGGCAAATAATGCTCCCAGGTCTGAAGAATCCTCCCAGAACTGCTACAACCCCTGAACTTTGGATGCCCCTCCTTCTCGGACTGAAGCATTTGCGTGTGGCTCAAGAAAATCCTCAGCTTTGAATTGAAGAAGCTGTTTTGTGGGGGTGGCCTATACTTTTCTGCATTGAATCAACAAGACACACAACCAAACCATCCCATCCTTCATGGGAAGAATTGGGGATGCTGAAGATTGCTGAAGTATTGTTGAACAATGTAACATGGTTGCACCACCGGAATTTCAGCAAGTGCATCGTGTTCTTCAATCATTTTGCGATAGTTATATCAAATTTCTATATCGATATAAATAAATAAATAATGTATATATATATATAATAAATAATTATATACATATCATTCGCGGCCCCTTCATGACCAGCCACCCCCGCACCCCCTTTTCCAAAGCCAGGCACATAACGCATTCGCACCACTGAGCCAGGGAGGTGAAGGGCAAACACAGCGTGGCGATTTGGTCCGGCTGCACCTCTGCACTGCTCAGCAAAGCTCGGAGTTTGGTGCGCTGCAGCTGCGTAATGCGACGAGGGTCCTTGGCCAAACAGTCAGATCACAAGGGTGGATTACAGTGGTTTAGATATGTTTAGATGTTTCTGTTAAATATATAATATACCTATATATATATATAGACTCTATAGACAAACAAGATGGAAACCCAAGCACATACATCTTTGATCATTGTGGCTGTTGATATAGATAAGACATGCAGGACAGGATGGTTGGAAGGGTCTGCTGTAAGTTTTTCGCTGCATTCGCTTCTGGACAATAAAACGTCCGCGATCACATGTTTAAATCGGAATTGATAAACTCTACTGTCCAGTACGAAAGCATCTAGAATCTAGAAATTGGTAAGCGCGAGAAACACTACCTACTACAAGGGGAATTACACAAAACAAGAAAGCACCAACAAAAAACATGAAAATAGATACGCTTGATGCTTTCTTTCGACGCTTGAACCCTTAGTACAAAAAAATGCCGGTGAAATCTCAGAAAAAAAAGAAAAACTGATACTGAAAAATATATTGTACCATCTTATAATTGAACATAGCCCTGGAAAATTACTCATTCGTAGATCATCTACCGATCTTGGCCATTCTGAACTTTATGTTAGACCCCAAAAAATGGTCAATCCCCACTTTTGATTAATCAATTCACAAGAAATGAGCCATAGTTCCCAAATACCTTGAAACTTCATCCCTTGAGATATTGCTTGGCAAACAGGTGGTTACCCTATAAAAATAACCCCACAAACGGTAGAATTTGCTTCATGCTTCACATGATGCGAGGGGCAAAGGCGGACAACTTCTGCGGAAGCGTATCTGCCAGCAGCTTCTTGAGATTCGACACCTTCACATCCTCTCGATGGATTTGCTTTAAAAACCTAGCGGGATAGCGGGTCCGACAAGACCACATAAATGTTTTCCCATTCATCATATTGACCTACACTCGACACATGTTCCACCTGTGAATTTCTGATTGGCTTCCGGGATTCCGGCAGATCGAGGTTCTCAACTCCTGACGACCATACCCTAACACAATATAGACTCATTTTCTGTCAATCCGCCAACCTGAGACTGAAATCTTTAGTCCGTCTCAAATTTTATAGACTCATTTGATTGATATGTTTAGATGTTACTAAGGGCTTAGCTCCTTATTAGATGGTAAACATCATTGTCAAATTTTGTAAATGTGATACTTTTAGAAATGGCCCTCATTTTCGGTCAATTGTTGAGTTCCGGCTTCTGTCCACCAGATTGCAGATTTTCCCAGTCCTTGTGGCCCAGTAAAAGGGCGATGGCTTGCAAAAGTTTCACCACCTACCGAAGGTTTTGTTAATCAATGGGATGCCCTTCCCCAAAAACAGGAGCATGTGTGGGGAAATGGTTGGAATATGAATGTGGATATCTCATGGGACATTTCGAACCAACAATGAGATATAATGGAACTATTCTACCAACTAGATAACAGGGAAATAGCTGGAAACATAGTGTCTTAGTGGGGTTAGCCAAGGACAAGTTGGGAAGTGGTCGGGATATGAACGGAGATATGAAAAGGGGTATGCCTTACCCTCTGGTAAATAATGGGGAACTAATGGATACATATGGGAATAAACTGGGGTAGCATTCATGGGGTTTAATAGGACATTAGAAATGGGATTGCTCTCAAGTGTTTTGTTCAAAACAATGTGCATCCACCATGAATGGCAGGAAGCGGGCAGCGACCATGGATTTCTATAGTGTCTTGTATACGTTTGGAGGCTATTCCTTGGGTATTCTGATCACCTTGTATCAAAAAAATGGCAATTTGTGGCTTAGCGTCCCCATGCTTGGACACTGGAATGTCCCATGTAGATTGTAGATGTGCTAAATACACGTCTTTTCAGCATCGAAAAAAATTGGAGTGGTTGATAAAAATGGCTGTGCCCAAATGTATGGGATTGGGGTCTCACAGCCCCCAACTATGCAAAATATACTTATATATAGATATATAATATATGCATATAATACTGCATATATATAAATATAGATATAGATATAGATATAGATATTGGGGATTGGTTTATTATTGTGGATCCCACCCGCGGCTACTGAGTGACCAACAAATCCAAATTGTGTGTTCCTTTCAAACGGGAGTCCTTGGGTTATCATAGGATAATTTGTTTTGGAACGGTGAAAATATTGATTCCCAGGGTCACCTACTTGCAATATGGCAAGCGTATCCATTCAGCTGATTTATCATGATTTATCTATCTTATGCAAAAACATGGTGCAACATATTCATGTTGAACATGGTGAACTATGTACATGATTTCAATAGATCATTTGGGGCCAAACCTGGTGAACATGGTCTAGAGCAAAACCCATGTCTTTGGAGGGAATCTACCTTTAAGCTACCCTGCCATGAACTGAGGTTCCTTCCTGCAAATAGCGGTTGTGCCGATGTATACCCGGCTTCCTGGCTTGAAACACAACAACATATGGTGGTTTCCTAAAATAGGGGTACCCCCAAATCATCCATTTTAGTAGGATGTTCTATCATAAGCCATCCATTTTGGGGTACCCCCATTCCAGGAAACCCCCATGTTAACAACCTAACATGTTGACTCACTTTTGGGTACTCCCCCTACTAACCACAACATTTTTGGTGAGGATTGTTGAGGTGTGACCAGGCACTTCTGGCTTCAACATAGAATCAGTACATAGAATCAGTTTGAAATTGGCCTGCATTTTGAGTAGCCTGCCACACACACAAGGAAATGCCCCATAGATAGCTAAGTTGTACGACTATGGCAGATTATAAACGATTATATACACATATGTATACAATAGAACTAGTTGAAGAAGTAAAACGAAACCAACAATCGCACAAATAGTAGTCCGAAAATAGCATAAGTCATTCAAAATAGACATGAGGGTTAAAAATAGATATCCAAAATGTTTCCAGCCGTTGATTTGGAAATTCCATGTGGAAAATCCACAGCAAACTGCTATAAAACACTGCGCCTGTGGAGGCAACTGCCGGGGCTTACGCAGGTCCCGGAGATGTTCGCTGGAAATCCTCAGCTTTCAGGGTCGATTTCCCGAGAACATCGAATCGAGGGATGGATATGTCTGGTCAAAAATCTATCATTAGATTCAAAGACGAAGTGTTAGATTGGCCCATCAAAATAAAACAGATTGCATTTATTCTAACACTAAGTTATTCAACTTATTGCAAGTTAGTCTGGAGAACGTATGAATGTATCTTAATCTCCTAGACTATGAATGTATACGCGAAGGTAAAAGTAAGACAAATATAGACAAATATGACAATGTATGTTCCAAACAGGGGGGGAGGGTCTTGCTCGCTATTCTATAGACATAAAATGGTGTCATTGACCCCTAGGGTGCATATAATTTGCTGAGCACCAACGTCGGACCCCCAAGTCTATAAAATAAGGGGTCTAACCACTAACCTTGCCAAACTTTGAGCATACAAATCATGATGTCTATGAAATTGGGAACTCTTACCCCCCCAATCTGGGTGTTATATTTTGAAAAACAGTGCAGTTCACCACAAACAAAATGAGAACATGTATCTCAAATAGTTTCAAATGATCCAAAGTTTCCATATGTCTAAAGTTATGAAGAATATAGAAGAAAGGAATGGAAAGGACATGCAAGGGTAGAAATTGGATGAAATTGGTAGAAGAGGAACTAGATTGTTTTCCCCACAGCCTTTGGCCTATTCGGCCCGGTCTGAGTTAAGGTCTGACGATGCTATACAATAGTGGGTGAAATCAAAATTGCCGGCCGTACGACGCAATGTCGGACCTCCGGAGGATCATTCTATTGAAAAAGAGCACCGACAAACAAGACACAGGCTCCGGTAGTATGCAGAAAGGGCCCAGTCGTGGCATGTCGTGGCAAGATGTGGCAGGAGGTTGCCCAAACCAAGAAGTCAAGAGGGATGGTAGCAAAGATGTGAAAGGATAGTAGAGGAAGTAGAACTTTGCCGAGGAGTGAGAGCTGAGATGGCTTCTGAGTACTGGTTCTGACCCCTGCTGCTCCAATTCTTCTGCTCTCTCCCACAGAGCAACAGTGTTATGGTGCAGGTGGGGGGTTAGACCCCTCCATTTTATAGAGATCCACCCCTGCTTATGGTGCAGGTGGGGGGTTAGACCCCTCCATTTTCTAGAGACCCACCCTGCCAGCAAGGGCCCAGTCGTGGCATGTCGTGGCAGGAGGTTGCCCAAACCAAGAAGTCAAGAGGGATGGTAGCAAAGATGTGAAAGGATAGTAGAGGAAGTAGAACTTTGCCGAGGAGTGAGAGCTGAGATGGCTTCTGAGTACTGGTTCTGACCCCTGCTGCTCCAATTCTTCTGCTCTCTCCCACAGAGCAACAGTGTTATGGTGCAGGTGGGGGGTTAGACCCCTCCATTTTATAGAGATCCACCCCTGCTTATGGTGCAGGTGGGGGGTTATAGACCCCTCCATTTTATAGAGACCCACCCTGCCAGCAAGGGCCCAGTCGTCCAAGATGTGGCAGGAGGTTGCCCAAACCAAGAAGTCAAGAGGGATGGCAGCAATTGGTAGCAAAGATGTGAAAGATTGTGAAGGGATAGTAGGGGAAGTAGAACTTTGCAGAAGAGTGAGAGCTGAGATGGCTTCTGAGTGCTGGTTCTGACCCCTGCTGCTCCAATTCCCGTGCTCTCTCCCACAGAGCAACAGTGTTATGGTGCAGGTGGGGGGTTGGACCCCTCCATTTTATAGAGATCTCCCTGCTTATGGTGCAGGTGGGGGGTTAGACCCCTCCATTTTATAGAGACTCACCTTGCCAGCAAGGGCCCAATCGTCGCAAGATGTGGCAGGAGGTTGCCCAAACCAAGAAGTCAAGAGGGATGGTAGCAATTGGTAGCAAAGATGTGAAAGATTGTGAAGGGATAGTAGGGGAAGTAGAACTTTGCAGAAGAGTGAGAGCTGAGATGGCTTCTGAGTGCTGGTTCTGACCCCTGCTGCTCCAATTCCTCTGCTCTCTCCCACAGAGCAACAGTGTTATGGTGCAGGTGGGGGGTTGGACCCCTCCATTTTATAGAGATCTCCCTGCTTATGGTGCAGGTGGGGGGTTAGACCCCTCCATTTTATAGAGACTCACCTTGCCAGCAAGGGCCCAATCATCGCAAGATGTGGCAGGAGGTTGCCCAAACCAAGAAGTCAAGAGAGATGGTAGCAATTAGTAGCAAAGATGTGAAAGATTGTGAAAGGATAGTAGAGGAAGTAGAAAGATGGCTTCTGAGTGCTGGTTCTGACCCCTGCTGCTCCAATTCCCGTGCTCTCTCCCACAGAGCAACAATGTTATGGTGCAGGTGGGGGGTTAGACCCCTCCATTTTATAGAGATCCACCCCTGCTTATGGTGCAGGTGGGGGGTTAGACCCCTCCATTTTATAGAGACTCACCCTGCCAGCAAGGGCCCAGTCGTGGCATGTCGTGGCAAGATGTGGCAGGAGGTTGCCCAAACCAAGAAGTCAAGAGGGATGGTAGGAAAGTTGTGAAAGGATAGTAGAGGAAGTAAAAGTTTGCAGAAGAGTGAGAGCTGAGATGGCTTCTGAGTGCTGATTCTGATCCCTGCTGCTCCAATTCCTCTCCTCTCTCCCACAGAGCAACAGTGTTATGGTGCAGGTGCGGGGTTAGACCCCTCCATTTTATAGAGACCCACCCTGCCAGCAAGGGCCCAGTCGTGCCAAGATCTGGCAGGAGGTTGCCCAAACCAAGAAGTCAAGAGAGATGGTAGCAAAGTTGTGAAAGGATAGTAGAGGAAGTAAAAGTTTGCAGAAGAGTGAGAGCTGAGATGGCTTCTGAGTGCTGGTTCTGACCCCTGCTGCTCCAATTCCTCTGCTCTCCCACAGAGCAATAGTGTTATGGTGCAGGTGGGGGGTTAGACCCCTCCATTTTATAGAGACCCACCCTGCCAGCAAGGGCCCAGTCGTGGCATGTCGTGGCAAGATGTGGCAGGAGGTTGCCCAAACCAAGAAGTCAAGAGAGATGGTAGCAAAGATGTGAAAGGATAGTAGAGGAAGTAGAACTTTGCAGAAGAGTGAGAGGAAGAGTGAGAGCCGAGATGGCTTCTGAATTTGCAGACTTGTTCAAAAAAAACATTGGTCGTGTTTATTCATATTTACTCATGTGGATTTGTGTCATTCAGCAGGTTCCATGTATCAAAACCATGATTTAAACATGTTCCGAACTTTGAATTATTATATGGACTCCTGATGATTCAATATGATTCATGTCGAGTTTCTGAATTTGATCGGACACCTTTGTTTGGCCAAATGGTTTCGGATAAATTTTATCTACTCGTGGTCAACAATCTATTATCTAACTGAACTATTCAATTCAAAAAACATGCACCAAATTTATATGTCATGTACCTTCCTGTCATTAAAGAAAACAAAACTGGAAAAAACATATCCTCTATAAAATAGGGATCTCTGACGCCCCCCCTCCTGAACCCATACTCTGAGCAGAATCATGCAAAACCATGGTTTCGCTATAAAATTGGGGGTCCAACCAACAGAAAAACCATACATAAAACGTTTTATGCAGGGCCATGACCCTCGCTATTTCATAGAGGGGTTTGGATCAGACATATATGACATATGACATTGGTACCAATGTCATGATCACAAGAAAGAGGGCGAATAAACAACAAGGGAAAACAAACCCGTTAAAAACCACAGGAAAACCATGGAAAACCACTCCTTCGAAAGCACTGTCGAGGTGATGATGATTTAGAGGTTGATATCCACAAAACTGCCGTTCTGAACGAATCAAGATTTTTATGTTGTTGGATGCTGACTGGAAGTTACGGCGAATGTTTCCAAATAAGAGTACATATATACAGTACTTGTCTTGGTTCCATACTGTGGCTATTTTTGCTTGGCAAACAACACTAATTTCTGTTTTTTTTCATCATCACTTCCTTGGGTGAACTATGGGTGAACTACAAGTACTGCAACTACTATAAGTACTACAAGTACTCATTGAGTGCTACGAGTGAAGGTCACCACACAAAAATATCGGGTCCCCGAAGTTGACTCAATGGAAAATGACCAAAAAAGCACAAAAAAACTTAGGGCCATAGTTGGCTAATAGAACTAGTGTACTTGGTAGACAATCAAATAACATATAGCTTTATATACTGGTTAGGTATACCTACCCCTCTGAAAAATGATGGAGTTTGTCAGTTGGGATTATGACATTCCCAACTGAATGGATCTGAATGGAAAAATAAAATTAATGTTCCAAACCACCAACCAGTATATATACATAATTATATGTATATGTATGAGGTTTCTGAATCAACAACTAATTGTGGGGCACGAGATTTCTGGGAGTTTGCATCGAGGGCTCTGTCCGCCGATCTTGTTCAATGTCTTGCAGCAGCGAACCGCTTCCTGGCGCGGGGCTGATGGGCGCCCCCGGCCTCTCAAAACATCTTCGAACAACATTTTTGAAGAAAAAACAACCGTATCACGCGAAAAAAAACTATCCTCTGGTAATCTAAAACATAGCAACTGAAAATGGTTCACTTTAAATGAAACCTGTTGACATCTGAAAATTGTGATGTTTCGCTGTCAAATTACCAGGGAACCATCGCAATGACCCGAGCCGAACCCCATCTGAACCCTCGCCTCTTCGAAGGTTAGCCGTTCCGGGAGGCTTTCCGTCTTCGTCATCCGACTGCCGCGGCTCAGTGTCTCAGTCACTGGCAGCTCCGGAGGTGTGCACTCCGGAGGTGTGCGCTCCGGAGGTGTGCGCTCCGGCGCGGCGTCCTGCGATCAAACCCTAAATACTTCCTTAGAAGGTACAAGTGACTTGGATCCATCGGGAATATATAATATTATATTTACATATACATCAAGAATAGATGCATATATACGTTTTTTCTTTGGTGTGTTGAACAATAAACATGATAATTACTAGATACCACGACAAATCAGGATGATAATAATACTACATACACACAGAAATATGTATATATATATATATAAATACTGGGTAAGCCTAAGGACAGCGAACCACCGCCAACAATGAGTCCGTGCTCCAAAAGCAACTTTCTTTTTGTTTCTATCTCTCTCGCCCTCTCTCTCTATCTCTCTCTCTCTCTCTCTCTCACTCTCTCTCCCTCCCTCCCTCCCTCCCTCCATCCTGTCTTTTTGGAAACAAGTGTCAGTTGTTGTGGTTCGTGAATTTGTATCCATGTAGTACAGTATGCAAGCAAGAGCTGTAAACAGTGTAGGTTATATATGCAAAACATATCCACACCATAACATATTTTATAACAATATCATTATCATTCATTATCATATCATCATATACTGATGGTCGCGTAACTATGCTCGCCAAATGGCACCGATGACAAACCATCTGGATTGGGGCTTAAAATCCGCCATGACAGATGAACTTGCCACTATTTAGACCCACAATGTCAATCCGGATAAATCAAATCAAAATCAACTCTTTGGGTTTCCAATTATATGGCAAGATGGCACTTTCTCCTACTTTTTCGAGGTACACAGAAGCAAGTTTTTTTTGGGGTTGACATCGGCTAAGTTTTGGTTTATCGGTACAGTAGGTGGGGTTTATACCGGTCTCTCCACCTTGCCAGTCGCCACCAGCGATCCACAAACTGGAAACGTTTCGTATTTCAAAAAGGGTAACACATTTTTCGGGCTATAGCACCACTTAAACAGACTAAACCAGCAAAATATGGCTACCATTACCGTATAAGTTCTAATCAACTCTTATTCGAATTTTCTGCATCTTCGGGTTACTATAGGCCTTTTTTTTCGCATATAACAAACGCAAGGATTTCCCATCAGCCGGGGCACCGTCGACGGTACTGGCGGGACCGGTGCCTGGGGCAAAGGACTCTCCTGGCGTCTCCCGATGTTTCAGACCCAGGAAAGGGATGGTTGCAATAATAATTGGGGTGATGACCCACTTTCCAATTGGGGTGACCCACCAAGTAATTAAGTTGCAAAAACGTTGGTTTTAATCATCACAAATTGGGCATGAAAATGCCTGACTGGCAAATTCACCACTAAAAAAGACATGAAACCTGTTTTGGGGGATAGTAAGCCTTTCAAGTCTCATCATTTCCAGAAACGTCGTGGTGACGTCGTCAAAAACTTCAAATGAAAACCATGGCCAAACACATGGGCTATGTGACTATAGTTCTGGGTAAATTATAATATTTCACTAAGCTGAATTAAGGCCATTTGGGGATGATTCCCTTTATTAACTATGATTTCCAGTGAGGGAGAACAGTGAGGTCGTTATAATTTACCCAGATAGTTGTATGGGCCCAGATCCCATAGAGATCCTCCAGTTCCAGCGCTTGAAGTGGTACCGCCTCCGTCTGCTCGGACTCCTCGAGCTCTGGATCTAATATTGGACAATGGTGGGAAACTTCGTTGGTTACAGTACATACCCTACATGGACATATTAAACAAATATATATATATGTATAAATATAATTATATATATATTAATATATATATATATATGCACAGGCCACAAAGAGGAAAACACCAGCGAGGAAATCTTGCAAAATTGGTTGGGGCGCATGGACAAGTACGAAGCCAACAGCAGTTGCACTATCCTGATGACCTGTGTGTGTGAACTCGGTATCCGACACGTCCCAAATCAAACATTCGAAAAAAGGGGGACATTGTGTAAATGCCACTTCCAGGTTGCGTACCCAAAGGGTCATCAACAAGAATTGGGATGGAACTGGTGATCGTTGTGAGCAATGGGTGAATATGTTGTCCTGGTTTTGGCTCTGGGGAACGCTAAACTTGAACCTCTGTCGTGCAGATTGCCATCACAAGACGCTTTTTGATACCAGCTCATTCGCCATGAAACTGGCGTGTAGAATCAAATTGATAAAGTGCTCACAGAGATAGGACCACATGAAAACGTGTGAAGGCTGCTTGGCAAAGCCACTCCTTCTAGACTCTGGTTGAATCCAATGCCGAAAGTCAAGCATTGCAGATTGCTCGGCCAAACCACTCTTTCCACACTGTGATCAAAATTACATCCAAAAGTCAAATTTCGCAATGTGCTTGGAAATGTGACCCCTTCGAGGCTCTGATTGAAATTATTTCCAAAGCTTACATCTTGCAAACTGCTCGGAAACGTCACTCCTTGCAGGCTCTGGTTGAATTGGTGTCCAAAGGTCAAGCTTTGGAGGCTGCTTGGAAAGGTGACTCCTTTCAAGCTCTGATTGAACTGGTATCCAAAGTTCAATTCGTGCAAACCGCTTGGCAATGCGAACCCTTCCAGGCTCTGATCAAAATCAAATCCAAAGGTCAAGCTTCGCAGACTGCTTGGCAAAATGACCCCTTGCAGCCCCTGGTTAAACGAGCCACCAAGGAACAAGCTCTGCAAGCAGCTTGGGAAGGTAACTCCTTCAAGGCTTCTATTGAACCTAGCGCCAAAAGTCAAATTATGCAAACTGCTAGGAAAAGTCACCCCTTGCAGGCTCTGATCAAAATAATATCCAAAGCTTAAGCTTTGCAGACTGCTCGGCCAATCAATTCCTATCAGGCTCTGATCAAATTGATATCCGAAAGTCAAGCTTTGCAAACTCATTGGTAAGCTGACTCCTGCCAAGCTATGATTGAACAAATATCCAAAGGTCAAGCTTTGCAATGTGCCTGGAAAAAGAAACCCCTGCGGGCTTTGATCAAAATCGAAACTAATTTTCAAGCTTTGCAGACTGTTTGGCCAGATAATTCCTTCCAGGCTCTGACTATAGAAATCCCCAAGAGTCAAGCTTTGCAAACTGCTTGGCAAGGGGACTCCTTCCAGGATTTGGTTAAAGCCGTCGCCAAATGTCAAGAATTGCAAACCACTTGGAAACGTCACTCCTTCCAGGCTCTGGTTGAAGCAATCTCCGAAGGTCAAGATGTGCAAACTTCTCGGCAAAAAACTCCTTGCAGGCTCTGGTTAAAGTTAGCGCCAAAGGTCAAGCTTCGTAAACCACTTGGCAAGGTAACTCCTTCCAAGGTCTGGTTAAAGAAAGGTCCAAATGTCAAGCTCTGCAGACTGCTTGGAATGGTAACTCCTTCCAGGCTTTGGTTAAAGCCGCCAAGGGTCAGACTCAGTAAACTGCTTGGCAAAATGACCCCTTGCAGGGTCTGATTAAACAAAGATCCGAATGTCAAACTTTGCAAATTGCTCGGAATGGTCGCTCCTTCCAAGCTTTGGTTGAACCTCTGACCAAAGGTCAAGCTTTGCAGGCTGCCTGGCAATGTGACTCCTTCGAGGCTCCGATTAAAAGCATGTCCGAAGGTCAAGCTTTGCAGACTGCTTGGCAAGGTGACTCCTTGGAGGCTCTTGTTGAAGTCATGTCCAAAGGTCAAGCTTTGCAAACCGTTCGGCAAGGTATGCCCCTCCAAGCCCTGATTAAAATGGAATCCGAAAATCAAACTTTGCAAGCTGCTTGGGACGGTCACTCCTTCCAGGCTCTGGTTGAAATGGGTTCCCAAACTGAGGCTTTCCAGGCCCTGAGGCAGGTGGTACAACCAGGGTCCCGAGCTTGCCCCTCCTATCTGTCTCAGACCCTCCAATGCAGGCTCTCGTTCAATTGCAGGGACTCCTGGGAGCTCTCGGGCACAAAAACCTGCGATTTGCTACGGAATCACCAACAAACAAGCAGTTTCCCATTAAATTAAAAAAACATCAAAAAACATCAAGAAACATCAGGAAACGGTGAATGTACCAATGGAAAATGTTGAAAATACTGAAAAATCTTCAGCAAATCCGAGAAACTCCATGCAGCATAGAAATCAATTGGAACATAAGTGCAGAACAGGGTCACAGCCTGACCTTCAATGCCCTGTTCTTGCAACGTTTTTCCCAGCATCAGCGGTGAAGCATTGTGGTGGAGCGAAAGTCTTCGACTCTTGGAGGGAAGCTGCTCCGAAACCATCCGGCGCACTTCCCTGCCCAGAGTGGGCCGGCTGAGGGTCAACTTGCAACCTTCACCATTCAGGCAGACTATATGAAGATCAATCATTTCAGAACCACCAACTGATGGTTCCTCATAGCCACCTGCAGCCGCTTTGGGCACGTGAAAATTCATAATACTGGCAGAGGTCTCTCGAGAGATGGGGCTGCAAGTACCTTCCAAGCATGTTTCATGGTTCGTACCCCCAGAATCGCACATCTTGAAAGATAAATATGCCCCAGCTACCAGACGGGCAAACGTCCGATGCCCTGAACAAAGGCGATCAGGTTCCATCTGTTTTCCATATGTTCCGAGCAATAGCCAAAATCAACACACCGTATCACCCATTGAGCTAATTACCCATCAGCAATATGTCGACAAACACAATTGTTCAGCAAATGGCTATAAAAAGGATTGCCCTCCAGTAGACTAACATATCTGTGAAAATGGATGAACATGGTGCATTGATGATTTACTTATAATAAAATAGACATGGTTGGTTTTGTTAGTTTACCAGAGAGTAATCCAAGCAATCGCTGTAACCACAGAAAAATCAGCTCCTCTTGAAGCTCTCGGCTCGCCATGGCAGCGCGGCTGCTGCGGCTCTCACGTGGGCTGGGCGTCTGTGCGGGGCAGGGCCCTGCGGGGTGCTCTGGGGAGGGCCAGCGGCGCAAAGCTTCACTTAGGCCTCCGGACCTGGGGGTGCAGTTGGGGTGAAAACACATGGGTATAGCTGTGGTAACAACCTGCAAATGGGATATATCCCCTACAACTATAGTATACTATAGTTATATAATGTTAAATAACCCACTTATTAGTGGAACTGCACCAAAGTACCATCCCCCACAATTAACATAAAGATACATAAAGCCTGCCAAAGCGGAGGCTGGAAGATGAGTTTCGACTAAAAAGTTGCTATTTCCTTTGCTGGAGGGAAATTGACTCAAACAAGTGGTATTTAGCTTGCCATTTTAGTATTTGCATCGCTATCTACCTCATGATTTGTTTGTAATTTGTACCAACTTCTCTGGGTTTGTTGACATGCAGGTTATGTTATATCAGTTAGATAATATATATATATACACAATAATATATTTAAAATATAATGCTTATGTATGCTAATGTTTCATGTCTTGTTTTGACACATGTTCACTGTTTGTTTACTTGCCTTAGAACTATCTTTGATTATTTTGCTACTTCTGTGTATTCCGGATATGGGTCAGTTGGGATGGTTTGCTTGATGATCCCTCTGGTAGTCCAAGCTAGCAATGGATAATAGCTTTGTTCAAACAGAACATCAATTTTCTACAATCTGATTTAGGATGGCCATTCGGGCCTGTGACTGTGTACTGGCAGCCATCAATCAGACTATGCGTTAATCAGCCGAAATTGGGTAGGGATCAACTCGACTGGCTTGCAGCAGCACGCAACATATCCGTCTTTCCAAACCGACGCCTTCACCCAAAACTTCGGTGAACCCTTACAGAGTTCAAAGTGCTCGGGGAATCTTTTCTGCTAGCAATCGGATACATGGTGTTATATGCATCTTCTCTGAACATCACCTAGTTTCTTGGCACAGTACAAAAAAAGTGCGAAAAAACACAGTTAAGTATTCACCCCGTAAATAAATATCTATATATACTTGGGAAATCAGTCAAATTCATTGGCTAAATGCGCGGATTTTTTGCACCATCACCCCAACCCCAGTTCGCGACCCAGGAACTTGAGAGCCAGAAAGGTCTCCCGTTTCAGCTGTCCCTTGCGCATCAGAATCGCTTGCTCGCCTTGCTGACCCTTCAAATATTGAAATCCATGGCCAATGGCTTGGTTTAAGGGAAACTTTCATAGGTATGCCTTTTCTTCACAAAAAATATAATTTAAGATGTTCCCTATATAAGTCTTCACAAGGGATCCACAGTCCAAGAAATGGTTCTGGGAGTTGTGGGAATAAATGTCCTACAGTTGCCGCTACTGTAATTTGATGGTTAGTTGTGGGTTGCTACCAGCCTCAAACGGTCGGATTGCAATCTCCTGGACACTTGGATTTATGCTCTGTGTGTGTTATTTAGTTCGGTGAAGCACCAGATTTCTACATTCATGTTGGCAAAGCAATAAACCATCCCCAATTCTACCATGGTTGGTATAAACAATCAAAATATGGGTGCATGGTTTGTTATTGCTTTACCATTACTCAGACGACTGGTGCCGCCATTTCCCACCCAAAAGTTGATGAATCCTAGAGGCCTGGGAATTCATGAGCGCGTCATGCAAGAAACGCTGCATCATGGGAATGAAAGGCGTATAGCAGCCCGAAACCCGACAGAACCGCAAACCGCCGCAAACCTACAAAAATATACAAAAATCATCAGAAATTATCATATTCCTAGAAGAAATCTAAGAAAAAATTGGGTAGCGGGGTTCATTTTTAATAAATCACGAGAATCTGTGGTCTCTAGGGTCTTTTGACCCATGGTTTTTTGAGGCTTCCCACGACCGAGGTACTCTGCGCCACCTGTGCTGCTGCCTCCTCTTTCGCATGCTGTAACTCGCGCAGCTGTTTGGACAATGAATCTTCGCCTTGCACCAGGGAGAGCCAGCTGGACAGGCTTACAAAAATTCATCAGTTGATGGGACTTTGGAACAGTCATGAAGAAATGCCGTGAACCTGAAATATTTTTGATATGGTTATTACCCTCTGGTTATTTAACGGTTTGCCATGGGAAATCACCATGCTATTAATAGGTAAACCATCTATTTCTATGGGCCATCTATACCATGGCAAACTGTTAGTCATAACCAGATGGTAAATGTCACGCTCTACTGACCATAATTGAAAAGCGGTCGGCCAGTGGAGCCTCGTAATCCGTCATGCTGGTATGCCTTGATCAGGAACTTTTTGTGTCATAACCCATAGGATCCATGGTACTGGTATATATGCTAACATAAAGGGGGTACATTGATGGGATCCATGTTGCCATATATATATATATATAGCATACATGGATCCTACGGGTAAACATGAGAGTGTAGTGCATTGCCGGGAAACAGTGGGGTGATAGACATTAATAAATGATGGCAACATATACCCTCCCGTAATCCAACATGGTTTGCTGGGAAATCCGCGAAGTAAATGGATCATTATAGCTGGGAACATCAACTACAACTGGAGAATTTTCGATTGCCTTGTTTGACCCACGCATGAACATGTGGATCCAGGTCACTCCCTGGACCAGTTCCAACATCAGATTCCGAGCTCAGCAAAGATGTTTTTTGGTTGGTCAATGTTGTGGTTATAATCTGTTAATGTCGACCAACCTAACGTCTGCATTGCATTCTAAGCAGCAAGGCATTGATCAATATTGGCCAGGGAGTTTTGACAGATTTTGAAAAATATTTTTTTTGGATTAGTTTTTCAAACAAAAATCCTTGGCCACCTTTTTTCTTACTTCAATCACCCCTACCTTTGGTCTCTGCTGGAAGATCGGTCTTCTCTCCGTCTTCTCCTCGGTGCTCCGGGTCAATTGCCAAGTTGGTTTATAAGCTTTATATAGCTAAGGTTTATCATAGATATATGCAAAAATGGGTTTATAAACTAACTTATTAGTGAGGGCACCCACCTTTAAGGTGTAACAGGTTCAACGTTTTATTTTTCCCTTGGCCGGTTTCACGTCAACATACTTGGATATACTTAAACCAGTTTGTGGGAAATGCCATATGTCTGAACCACGACACAAATAGATTGAACCATTGGAAGCTGCAGCTGGTTGCTTCAAAGCATGGCTTGGGCGATGTGATTCCCAGCCAATCCCAGCAAAATTGGATTTAAAAAAAAACGCTCATATGCCCCAGGGGTTGTATATTAATTAACTGGTATTAGCTTTAGCGCTGCCTAAATTTTGGTAACTATATAACTGTTGGATAAAATGATCAAACATCAAAATTGCATCTTTTGTTTCAGTATCGCCTTTACCTCTTAACCCAGATCATTCACCAAGGCTTAATATAGATATTGTTGGTTACATATGTCAAATCCCCTGATAAGATTCCCATCATACCGCAATTTCTGCTGGTTGCGCAAATCCTCATTCTACCACCATTTTAATGGTTATATACTTATATATATATATATGCTTATATAACTTATATAGTTGATTACATCCTATTGTTGGTTGGTTGGTGGGCTGGTTGGTCGGTTGGTCGGTTGGTTCGGTATATACCATTAAATCCTTATTAAGTCCCCATGATGGCTGACATATGTTGATATATTCCTATTATATTCCCAGCGATTAAGTGTCTCATTCTTATCCTTATATTCCATGACATTCACATTCCATCCGCATTGTTGATGGATAACCAACTATTATTCAATTTCCCATGCACTCAATTCACTATATTTCCCACATATCCCTATTGTATCCCAAATTTATCATGCTATTTCCACTTTTCCACCATATTTCCAATATATTAATCCGGTTTCCACTATGTTTGATGGTTATATAGTTGATTAAATGCCCATTGTTGCTCGCTCAAAATTCCACTTCTCATCCAAGTTTCCCTTGCCCCTTGGGCTCTGTGTGCTGCGCGGACTCAGCCGTGGACTTCCCTCGGGGGCGCCGCAGAGCCGGTGCGGCGGCGTGGCGGGGGACGCGAGCTGAGAGGACGGCAGCGGGGGCTCCTGAGGAATGTGCACCTGCGCAGGGTGCCCCGGGTAGCCATGATTATAGTGGTACAATGGGGCATAGTACCAATGGCCATTTCAGGAACCGATCGATTGGAGGTACCTACCATATATAAGGCCTAAATTTCAGGGAATATCCCCACAAAATATGGCCAGAAATATGGTACAGTAGATCCTGGAATTCCCATTGATAGTATGGGATACAAGTGGGAATGTCTATGAACATATGGGATGATAATTGGGAAAATCAATGAAACTATAATGATAGCTGGAAGACAATGGGATGATAAGTG